CAGGGGTTGGCCTGGGCACGGGACGCTACTTTGGGGAAGCCGGTGATCAGCGTGTCTCCCCAATATCTCAGCGGCCACTGCCCTGGTGGCACAGTGGTCACGCATCTTGGGGTAACCAAGATCAGAGGTTGGATACCATCAACCACTCCACCGGAGAAAGACAGGCTTTCTACTCCCGTGAAGAGTGATGATCTCAGAAACCCACTGGGGCAGTTCTGCCCTGTCCTATAGGGTCGCTGTGAGTCGGAATCCGCCCATGGCAGTGAGTTAGAGTTACGTTTTGTTTTGAACTGCCCTGGAGGACCACGCTCTTCAGAGCCACCAGGAGCACATGTCTACCAGGCCCAGGTGAGGGAGGGGCTGCCTCAGACTCCTGCCCCAAGGGGCAATGCCAGTGTCCACGGAAGCCCACCCACCGATTCCATGGGGCTCAGGGGAGGGCGGTGATGGGCACTGGATGTGGGCTGCAGAGAGGCCGCCTTCTCCCCTAGGCTAACCAGCCGTTGCTGCAGGAGGGAGCCCTGAATGTCAGGCGCCAGGTGGTGGCTGCTCCCTGCTGGGCTGGGAGGCTGGGCACACTTGGCCAGCAAGCAAGCACTGCAATCTGTCCCAGCCGGAGAGGCAGCACTGGGTGAGTGCCAGATGGTGGGGCACCTCACCAGCAGCCCCCAGCTCCAAGCGGTAATCAGCCAGGGAAAGACAAGCACGAGACCAAGGGCCAAGGCTTCTCAGGGAAGCCACAGTGGTGTAACAGGAGGCCCAGTCTGAGGCTACCGGACTGAAGCCACTCCATCCAGGAGAACAGGTGGGCGTTGCTCTGCACCTCCATTGCCCCCCTGCCCCCCCCCCCACTGGGCTGGCTCTCCCAGCTGTGACTCACATGAGTGAAATTAGAACAGGGACACACCGTTCTTGTGTGGCTTTACGTTCGTGCAAGGGGCCTTGGTGATACCGTGGGCTCAGTGTTGAGCTGCTACCTCAACCTCAAGGGTGGTGGTTCAAACCCACCAGGTGCGCTGAGGGAGAAAGACGAGATGGTTCAAGATTTAATCTCAAAAAAATCCCCTATCAGGTCGCTGTTGGAATGGGCTCGACGGTGGTGGGCGTGTGGTTGGGTCCGGTTGGGTTTGGGAGCTGTGATTTAAGAGTGGCGTGTTCAGCAGACGAAGGTGATGGTGATGAGGGGTTTGTTCAGAGTTCTATCCTTTCTGAAAGCACAATCCGAACTCACTGCCATCGAGTCGATGCTGACCCGTAAGCGGTCCAACAGGGCAGGGTAGAACTGCCTCTGTGCAGGGCCAAGACTGGAACCCTGTACAGGAATAGAAAGCCCGATCTTTCTCCTACAGAGTGGCTGCTAGTTTCAAACTGCTAACCTTGCTGTTAGCAGCCCAGCGTGTGACCACAACACCAGCAGGAGGACTGATTTACCCAGCATGAAAGAGGGAGTGAGAGTGAGTTGTCCATGAGCGGGATGTCCAGCTGCCTGTAGCCCAGGGCATGTCTGTGTTCTCCCCATTCCACAGAGGAGAAAGCAGATGCTCCGTTTCCCAGGGGATTCTCCTCTTTCCTCCCCTGCTTACTCATCAGCCCCATCCTCTCCGGAGACACCATAGCAGGTATCTGGGAAACTCACAGCTAGGGGTTTCAAAGCTCAGCCTGGCCATGTTATGCCCCCAGATCTGAAAGGCCCCCTCTCCCTACCTGCCCAGTTCCACAAGGATGCCAGCATGGGGTGCACAGGGAACCACATGGAACCCCAGCTGTCATTTGGAAAGACATCCGAAAGCATGAATCCTGAACAGGTCCCAAAGCAGGGTGTGTGTGTGTGTAGGGTGGGGGTGGGGGGCTGCGTGCCTACGGCATTCACTACCAATAGCCAAGGAGCCCTCAGGGGGTAACCTAACCACAGGGTCAGCAGCTCAAAACCTCCAGCGGCTCTTTGAAAGAAAAATGAGGCTTTTGACTCTGGCAAAGAGTTACAGTCTCAGAGAAGTTCAGGGGGCAGTCCTAACCCACCTGTCCTGCAGGGTCACTAAGAGTTGGACTGGACAAGATGGCAGTGAGACCAACATCTAAAACAATGGTTTCTCCCACTTCCTGCCCACTGTAGGCTCTGGGAAAATCTCCCTTCCTACACACACACACACACACACACACACACACAGAGAAACCCCACTCAGTACGGACTAGGACTCCACCCCACAAGAGAAAGAACAGAGCAAAAGGAAGGAGAGGGGTGGGTTCCAGAAGCTGCTAGAAAATGTTCTCAGAAAGCCAACCAGTGCATTACAGCATCCTCCAGAACAAAGCCAGCCCACGACAGTCAGGAGCCCCTCCAGCCCCCGGAGGCTGACCTGAGGCCCACATGAACCCATTTCATATACACAATCCCTAACCTGGAAGAGAGCCCCTGGGTGGTACCGACTCAGCTACTAACAGAAGGTTGGAGGATCAAACCCACCGAGAAAGCCTGGCTGCGTGTTCTGGAAGACCACAGCCACAAAGACCGATGGAGCGAGCGCCGGGGTGCCAGAGCTTGGTGGCAGCAGGCTGTCTCATCCACCAAGAGTGACAGCCATCAGGGGTTCCCGGGGGAAGGGGCTCCCTGGTCTTACAGGCTGAGGACATGCGGGGGGCAGCCTCTCAGGGACACCCCAGAGCACTTTACAGGGGGAGAGAGAATATTCAGGGAGCACTCCACCACCCAAAGCCACACTCACTGCCAGCGAGTCCATTCCGACTCACAGCAACCGCCCCAGTAGGTTTCCGAGACTGTAACCCTCCACAAGAACCAAAAGTCTCATCTTTCTCCCGTGGAGCAGCTAGGTGGTCCGACCTGCTGGCCACGAGGTTAGCAGCCTGAGGGGTAACAGCCCCGTGACCAGGCTCCAGCAGTGAGGGCCAGTGCTCTTCAAACACCCAGTGGTTTCCTTATAGTCTGTGGTCTCTTGATGCTCGTTTGAGGCCCTCTGACTAGTCCTGACCAAGGGACTAGAGCTGAACTGGCATGTGTCACCTCCAGGCTAGCACGGATACTTGTCCATCTCTCTTCCCCGCTGCAGCAACTCTGGAGGCCACCTAGGCCAGCAGGTGCAGCCACACACAGAGGGGGACGTCACTGAGCGACCAAGGGGAACTAAGGTCCAAGCGATCCAGACAACGTGAGCCAGAAGTAGACCCGGCTGCTGAGCCCCTGAAACTCTGGGCTCCTTTTCTGTGGCATATCGTACTTATCCCCCACACTCCCTGCCATCTAGTCTCTTCCGACTCAGGGACGCGGTGAGGGACCCTAATAGGGCAGGGCAGAATTGCCCCTCTGTGTTTCTGAGATTGTAACTCTTTACTGGAGTAGAAAGCCCTGTCTTTCTTACCCCAGAGTGGCGGGAGGTTTCAAACTGCTGTGGTTTAGCAGTCCAACGCAAAGCCGCTGCACCACCAGACGCCTGGACTTTAACCCATCCGATGTTGCTATCACCATGATCCTGACTGATAAGGAAAGCAAGACCACCCAGCCACTCAGTGGCGGGAACACGTTTCAAATTTAGACCTGCGTGTCCCATGTGCATCTTCTTTCTGTGACTCTTTGTGGGTGAGTACGATCCATCCCTTCTGACAAGCAGCCAAGCCCCAACCAATACGATGGCAATGGGACAAACCAAGCATTCCTCTTCACTGTCCCCAGGACAGCTGGGCGAGTGATGCAGGATGACAAGTCTGGAAATGGCCAGAAGCCGGGAGAAGGGACATCTCCAAAGAGCCTTTCCCAGGGGACTCGGGGGTTACAGGCAGCGACTCAGAGTGCGGGGCTGGGAGTCAGATCCACCTAGGCCCAAACCCCAGCCTATTCTTTCTGTGTGCCTGAGCCTGACTTTCGAATGTGTCCAATGGGGGTCAGATCTGAGCCAACTTTTAATCTGCAGAGCAGAGAGAGGTGAGGATGAAGGCCATGCATGGTTAAGTACTTCCTGGGACAGGGAGTGGGTGGTGGGGAGGGTTGGCTGCTGCACCATGGTGCTTAGGCCTGGGATCACTGCTCTGAGCAACAGCCTTGCCGGAGGACGGGGAGGCAGAGGCTCGGCCTGCCTGTGGGTCCCTCCCAAGCTGTCCACAGAGGAGGAGGCTGCCGTCCCAGCCCAGGCCCAAAGCCTCAGACCAGTGACCTGGCCCAGACCCCATCCCTGCCGCAGAGCAGCGAGGAGGAATGTGGATGAGGGCAGCACACCAGCCAACCACAGTGTCTCAGAACTGAGGGAGTGACCCGTTCTCTTCCAGGCGAAAGTGTCTTTTATTTGTGTGGATCTGGGGGTTGTTTATCAGCTTAAACTCATTATCTGCACATATGGTCTTCGTACGCCAGTTCAGGGTGGGGGAACAAAGGGTGGAAGGAAAAGGACGGGCAGAGAGGAGCTGATGAAATATCATCCCTCAAGTGCCAGAAACCAGGATCTTTGTAGTGACGTCACACTGGGCCTCCAGCCACAGGGATAGGGCTGCCATGAGAATCACAAGACTGCGACTCGGACGAGGTCCTCCAGGAGGCAGCGGCAGGAAGCAGCAGAGAGAGAGAGAGAGAGAGAGAGAGAGAGAGAGAGAGAGAGAAGAGAGCAACTTGCTGTGGTCACCCTTCTTCTGTCACGACCGGGACCACAGGCCAGTTAAGCCGCGGGGGCGTCAGAGTGGACCCCCACCCCCCAACCCACACTAAGAATAAGACCACAAGGAGGCTAGCAGACTTGGCTGGGCACTTATTAGGAGGCAGGCACTGTGCAAAATACGGGGGGTGGGGTGGGGGTGGAGTGGGGTCCAGGCTCCAAAAGGTTCCGAGGTAAAAGGGAATGAAAAGTTTATGGAATTAATTGTTCCACAGTTTTGGAGCCCCTCACCCACCCACCCACCCCATCGTATTTTATTTTAACCGCACGGCAGAACAGTTCAATGACCGGCCATCCTCGGACAAGGGACAGCCAGCTCACACATTAGAAAGTCCACAAACTCACCGCCCAACTGCGCCTCTGCAGAAAGAAGCAAACCGAGCCTTGGAGAAGGCCAGCAACTCACTCAGGCCAATAGTCCATCTGCCTCTGAGCTGGGAGCAGGACTCCCGTCTCTGAACTCCTGGGTCAGCAACCTTCCCACTCCATCCTGTTGCCTTTCAGCTCTCTCTCTCTCACAGTCTCTCTCTCTCTCTCTCTCTCTCTCTCTCTCTCTCTCTCTCTCATGATGAGTGGACGTATCTTTGTCCATCTCCAGCTCGTTCAATTCACTAATGGAGCCAACAGCCTCGGATGCAGACAGGGGGCAGAGTTGGACTTAAAATCACACGTGACTGGAAGAAAGGTCTGCTTTGGAGGCTCTATGTACCGTACCCCCCCCCCCCACTCCCTCTCTTTCTGGAAAGTGCTTCCTTACTCTCACCCTCCCTGCGCACACTGACTTGGGTCCAGGGTGCCAGCCCGTGCGGCAGGAGGCGCCCAAGCTGGCAGGCTTGCACCATGGTGGCATCGGGTTGAAGAAGTGCCCGCTCAACCGGCGTCATCTGCTCCGGGGGTATCAGAGTGCTGGCTTCCAAGCCACCCCCCCTTCCGTGCTGTGTCCCAACGGAGTACGAACAAATGTTCCTGATTTTCCTTCTCAATGGCTGGTGAACAAGGCAAGAGGAGCAGCCACTTGCAGCGCAGCCACCAGCCTGGGCTCCTCTTGGGGGAGAACGGGCGTGGGGGCCCATGAAGCTGAAGTGTGAGAACTGGCTGACAAGTATCAGGTTCTCACAAGCATGGCCACCCCTATTACCACCCCCCCACCAACACATACACACACACACACACACACACACACACACACCACCAAGTGCCACATATTTTGTTTGCACTAGAAGACCCTGCAGTAGGCCTGAGGCCTGAGGCCTGAGTTTTAGAATCCACCTTACTAACTCAGCGCCCTAGTGGCATAGTGGGTTACGCATTGGGCTACTAGCTGCAAGGTCAGCAGTTTGGAACCACCAGCCGCTGTGCTGCAGAAACATGAGGCTGTTTACTCCTCCAAAGAGTTCCAGTCCTGGAAACCCACAGGGGTAGTTCTACTCTGTCCTATAGGGTCGCCCTGAATAGAAATCAGCTTCATGGCAGTGAGTTTAGTTGAGGCTTTTCTTCCTCCTATTAACTCCCAGGGGGGCTTTGCTGTGTACAGGCTGCATGGAGCAGGGTGGGGCCAGGGGGCTCTCCTGGGTCGGAGTAGCACTGTGCACCGGAAGTATTCCAAGGCTGGATTTGGGACAGAAGCTCCCCAGGCCTTTTTACCGTGGTGCCTCCAAGAGGACTTGAACCTCCAGCCTTTTTTTTAGCAGCTAAGGGCAGCGACTGTTTGAACCAGGAATCCCTCCCTAAAAAGCTAAAACCCACTGCCATCAAGTCAATTCCAACCCATAATGACCGGAGACTATAAATCCATATGGCAGCAGACAGCCTCCCCTTTCTCCCTGGGAGTTTAGTTAGCAGCCTGACACCTCACCCACAGCACCTCCAGTGTGCTCCAGGACTTCTCAGAACCGCCCAGCCTCCCGTTGTGCAGGTTCAAGAAGGGAAGTGACTGAGCCAAGGCCACTCTGGTGATCCAGAAGGGTGAATTTTCAAATCTGCTGCTTCTCCCCCTCGCTCCTGCCCCCCACCAAATGCTTCCAAACATCCCTGGCTCAAACTCCTCATAGCTGTCTCTGCCCAGCACCCCACTTCCCATCTGACACCCCTCCCTCCACCCGCCCCGATCATTAAAACCTCATTCTATCTGCAGGGAACGACTTTCAAGCTGACATGAAACTTGTTCAAGGGAGATGGCCTGTCTGGGAGTCCAGGGCAGGCAGCGTCCTGTCCTAACCCGGACTCCAGATGAAGGGCTGCTGCATCTGCACCCCAGGGCGGGGTGGAGGGTGGGGGGCAGTGGACCCTGGAGCTTCTGTGCACGTGACTGCGCGAACCATGTCTGCCTCTGGTGGGGATCACTTCCCAAGGGCTTAGGCCCGTGAACAAATTTGGGGACGGGGAGACAAGGAGACTGAGTGCCCAAGACTTGAAATGTCACTGGGAGCCTGCCCGGGCAAAGTCCCAGCCCCCAAACTGTAGGTTAAACTGGAGCACTGGCATGAGAAGCCCTTGGGGACCCAGATCCCTCTTCTCTTCAGCAAAGATGGGGTGAAGCAGGGCAGAGAGAGAAGGTGAACGGCCAGGAGCTGCCAGCCTCCTGGAGTCTCAGTGCCCACACAGTGTCCCCAGGGCAGGGCTGCTCCAGACACACTTCCCCACAGCAGGGAAACAAGAGTCATTAAAAACAAAGCCAAAAAACCCACCCTTTTGTTTTCGGGGCCTCCTGGAATGTCTTGAAGAGGAGTCCAGAGGCAGGGGTCCCCCACCCTTTCCTCTTCCTCCTCTCTCCTCCTCCACTGGAACAAAAATAGTGCTCCTCTTTCCTGCTGGCAGCCCTGGTGGCCTCCCAACAAGAATGGCTGGGGGGCTACTCTGACGACTGGGGCCGCCTTGGCAGGGAGGACTCTTCAGTGAGCTCTGGAGAAAGAGGCCACACTCCGCTCTCGGGTTTGCTCCCTGGGGAGCGCGGAGGGAGAGGAATGAAACAAGCAGGAGGAGGTAGCCTCCTGCCCTGCCCTGTCCTGTCCTTTGCAGAGGCCCTCACACAAGCACGCTCTTCAGAGAGGTCGCTCTTGCTTCTCAAAGCCTATCAGTTGGGGCCCTGGGCTCAGATCATGGGGACACATACCAGGTGTCCCCCCAATAACTAGACCGCTGGGGTGAATGTTGCCAGAGGAGCTCATTCCCCCAGCCCCCTGTGGGAGCCGAGTTGTGGGAACGGAGTGGGTCCTGGCTGACGGCGGGGAGCTTGGACAGCGAACATCGTTACTCAGGGACCCCATCATCTCCATGCTGAGGAGGGATAAGAGGGGCACATCCCAAGACTGCCCTAACCAGGTAGCAATTGGGCCAGATATGGGGGTGGGAGGGGGAAGGCGGTGGGCTATGCAAAACTGACAATAATAAGGTCTTCGGTGGTCTGGGGTCCACTGTCTCTAAGAAACGTGAGCTAGTTCATTCTCTGTCCCACTTGCTCTACGCGTGGAAAGTTTGGGGATCGTGTTTTTTTTTCGGGGGAGGGGGTGCATTTTTATTCACCCACTAACCCTGCTGGCCTCCCCGCCAAAAGAAAGAGCGCCCCTCCCCTCGCCCCCACCCGTG